ATGGTGTCAAGAACAGGACGTGGAAGATATTACTGAAGAAAAGGTTCTGTTAGCTTACTTTTTGGGCAAGTCACGAAAGTTGAAGTCATCGTCATTGTGGAGCTTGTATTCGATGCTAAAGGCCACAATTGCAGCAGACATGGGCGTCGATATCAGTAAATACAGCAAACTGACTGCATTTTTGAAGAGGCAGAATGAAGGATATAAGCCAAAGAAGTCGAAGATTCTTGATGCTGATAATATTAAAAATTTTCTGGAAAAAGCGACAGACCAAGAATTTTTGGGACAAAAGGTAGGATACGTTTTTTATTTTTTATGCTGATTATGTTTCATATGTCTGTTGGTCTGTCACAACGTGCTACTATAAAACGCGTGTATAAAGGCGGCCTTATAGCAGAAAATCAATAATTTATTTATTTGCTTAGACACTTTCCAGAAAATAAATAAAATGATAGGTATTGCATTACAAAATTCACTAATAACCAATTTTGTTCCAGGTGGTGCTAATCATGGGTGTGTCAGGGGCATGTCGAGGGAAGGAGCTGTGCCAGCTGGATTGCAGTGATGTTTTGGAATATGAAACATTTTTTTTTAGTAAATTTACGAGATACCAAAACACGAAAAGAAAGATCGTTCGTGATTAAGAGATCAAATGAAAACTCCACAGATGTGGTAGGATTGGTGAAAAAATACATCGCTTTAAGACCCCCAACAACAGGTCATACAAGATTTTTTGTTGGCTACATGAAAGGAAAGTGTACTTCTCAGCCTATAGGCAAGAACACATTCAGGCAAATGCCAACTAAAATTGCCAACTATTTAAAGCTGCCAGATGCGAAGCTATACACGGGCCACTGTATTCGCAGAACGTCGGCATCGGTGCTAGCCGACTCTGGGGTAAGCATAGATCAGCTTAAACGACATGGCGGTTGGAAAAGCAGCACCGTCGCTGAAGGATACGTGGAAAATTCTTTATATCAAAAAAAAATATATGGCAGATCAAATTTTTACTAGCACCAGTAGCACCTCCTCAGATATTCCAATTTCTATTCCAACGGCACAAAATGCAAAGACAGAAAGTGGAAAACCAATGCCAGCAGCGGCGCATGCGACGATTGTGCAAAACATGAACACTTTAGTCAATAAAAATTTCATCCCCAATAATTATTCACCTCTTTTTAATTTATCTAGTTGTAGTGAAGTTAATATAAATGTAAATATCAATACAAATTAGTAGCGTTTTATAGTTACCTGAGTTTTTAATTCTAATATGTACTAATGCAATATTGCTTACCTATCTATTTATTTTAGGGATTAAAATCGTTTTTAATCCCAAGGGAAAAAAAGTGCCACTTTAGTCCCTGAAAATAGGGACTAAAAGAATACTTTTATTCCCTAAAGTACATAAATGACATTTTATTTAAACTCCCCTCTTAATAAGAACATCTTTTTATCAAACAACTTCACGGCCATGAGAATCAAGGCAACTCGTCCATTTGGTTTGAAGGTAACTATGAGCTATACCCGTTAATATTGCCGGCTGTTCTACTATAATGAACACGCTTTCATCTAAAACATACACTTTCGACATTCACAATGTACTCAACTTGCTAACAAGTTCATAAACGATAATAATTGAGTTTTCTCACATCAACTGCGAAGTTAAGTTACCTTTTCAAGTTTATATCATTAAAACTTGTTTACTGGCAATGCTGTTATTTTGATAGTAGGATAAAGTTTCAAATAGGATTTAAGTCGAGAATTTCAAACGGAACTCTAAAAATGTTGAAGAAGATCTGATGACTTAAAATACATTACATTTTTGATTTTACCTTTCTATGCAATGAAGCAATTCTTGTAATTTAATTTTAGTATGTATTCTTCAATTACCCACATAACAGTGAAAGAACATTCATATTCTCAGAATATTCCCTCAAAGTGCTTTTTGGAATGTTCTTTTAGGAATGTTTAATAAATATTCTAAGATTGTCTCGATTGAAATATTCATTTTTGAACGTTCTATTTATGTAGGTACTAGGAACGGTGCTTCTATGCACCTACCTGAAAGATTGTGCTAAGAACCTACTTTATGTAACATTATTTGAATATTGTCATACGAACATTATTATAATGTACCCTAAATAATGTTCTTTCGGCTGATATCTCTATCATGTATTAAGAATATACCTACCAAGTTGTACTGAGAAGTTTATGCAGGTAGGTAACCATGATGAGAATATTTTCATATTGTTCACCTAGTTATCTAAAGTACCTACTCAATAGTTATTTATGTATCAAGGGAATAGGCATGATGACAGATTTTGAAAAACTATCCAATAATGGTCGGAAATGGATAATATTTGCAATGAATATCATATTTCTACACATAATGAAAGTTTTGGTAGGAAAAATTGGCATTTTAGTTTTAAGATTTTAAATTCGCGCCAAAACGCTTGCCAGTGTCATGGCGTCAGTAGTGACGTCACGTTTGAGTAAACAAAACGCAAACACTAGACGTTCCTTAGACGCTCATTGAATATTTGGATAATTTAGATATTTTGTGTTATAATATGAATTCCAAAGTGTACAAGTGGTGCGCAGTCCCTCAGTGTGTTAACACATCACTAAAAAGTCCTGAAAAGTTATTTGTGTTCGTCCCACAAAAGAAAACAATACGGGACAAATGGCTTAAACTTGCAAGGCGAGATACAACTGCAATATTGCCTAGTACTCACCTCTATTTTTGTGAAGATCATTTCGACGTGAGTATTTTATTTAATTTGTGGATTCTACAAAATCTTAAATAGTTTTTTGTGGTCTAAATTTAATATAAAAAAATATTTTTTGAGGTTAGGTTTCACCTTGTAGTCCTTGCACTACTGTTATTATCAATGGATATTTTATTAAAATTTCAAATGCCAAATGATATGGCGAATTATATGGAATATCATTTGATGGGATCGGTGTCACAGATCCGCATGAAACCCGGCTGTTTGCCTACAAGATATCAATGTCAATCTGATAAAAGAAAAAGAACATCTGATGCTACAGAACTATCATATATTCTCAAAAAACAGAGGATTGAAGAATGTGGAAAAGATTTAGAAGAGAGAAATGCAGCAGTGGAACTTGGAGAGACTTCATCCAGCAATTCAGGTAAATAGGTGGTACATATTTACATGGAATGACATCAACTATCAATAGGTCTGTTTCTGCAGAAATCACAAACCAGTCAGAGTGAATTTCATTGGTTGAAACCATAGGTTGAAACCAGTTTTCCGACTTTTATCACCCAAGATTGCACCTAATCTAATATTCTCATTACACTATCTAGTTAATGTTATTTGGATTATGAAAAGATAATTTTGAATATTGTGTAAAACGAATTTTGGAATTGTGAATTTAATTTTCGAAGATGTAAATTGAAATTTGAAATATGTAGTTACCTACTTAGTTATTTTGATTTTGGAAAATATAATTTGCAAATGGTAAGAGTGGAATTTGAAAATTGGCAAATGAATTTGAGATAAGGTGAAATCGAGGGTGAAATGTAATTAGGAAAATTTTTGAAATCCCTTGAAATCCCCAAAAAAAAGCACATTAAAATTTAATTTTCTACTTTATAGGTAGTCTCTTATGGTATAAATATTAAGATGTACTATTTTTTATTCAGTAAGAACTTGATAGTGTACCTATTATGTTTTTCTTTTCTTTTTCAGTTTCACAAGCATACGTTGATCATATTCCTCGAGAAGAAGTACACAAGACAGCGCACAAATCTACTCAAGTACATATGACATATAAGTTCCGAAGTAAAGCCATCCAAACAGAAATAAATGTAGTAAACCAAATGACATCACCTTTGAAACCATTTTGCGAATCTGTTTCCACATCACCATTTAAAATTGAAAGTTGCATTACTGCTAAACCTTCAACGTCCACCTTACAGAGATCTGATAGTGATATTTCTTATACGCCATCTGTAAGTCATAAAGAATCATCAGAATCATCACAATCAACATTATCTCTACCAACTAAATCTACTTCGGACTGCAGCGAATTGATTGAAGAAAATAAAAAACAAGAAGCATCAAAAATTCTGGAGTATACGTTGCTTAAAATAGAGAAAAATCCATGTTCTTACATTGGAGTACCTAAGAGCTGTTACTTCATAATAGATTTGATTGAAAAAAGAACAAGAATTTCGAAAAATCATATTCTCATGTGTTTGAAAAAAATTAGATTGAATAACCCATTCAGAGAACTTGCTGATGATTTTTCCATGTCACCGACCTATGCTAGCAAAATATTTATAAAAAATATACCATTAATAGCTAGTTTAATGCTACCTTTTATTGTGAAATTAGATAAAGATTCAATAAAACAACACTTACCTATGGCTTTTAGGCATAAATACCATAATGTGAGTTGCATCATAGACTGCTTAGAAATAGAGGTGCAAAAGCCTTCAAAAGCCATCAATCAATCTCTCTCGTGGTCAGAGTACAAAAAAACTAACACTATCAAATATCTTATCTCCTGTACACCAAATGGTTTAGTGAATTACATTTCACCAGGCTATGGAGGAAGAATAACAGACACATGTTTGGTTGAATCATGTGATTTTATAAAATGTTTGCAACCAGGTATGTTTGTGATGGCTGACAGAGGATTCAAACATGTAGAACAATATTTACGAAAAGAAGGAGTGCAATTAGTACGGCCTCCAAGTGTAGCAACTGGGGCTAAGTTATCAAAAATCGAGGCAAGGCAAACAAAACAAATTGCAAGCCTGAGAATACATGTGGAGAGAGTGATCCGACGCCTGCGTGAATTTAATATGTTAAAGCCACATGCTTGTGTAAACCATAATTTAGTTAAAGTACTTGATGATGTCATCACCATTTCCTGCGGTTTAGTGAACTTACAAGATTCATTAATTAAATAAAACTGTTTTTTTTTTTTTAAATCTTGCATTTTATTTAATATTCACACAAAACCTATAGAGTGCTTTGATATAATAATGGATAAACATTATTTTTCCATGAAAAAACTATATCATTTAGAAATTTCAATACATATTTTTCATCATATGAGACACTTATTATTTGTACATTTTTATTCGCACTGTAGTTGCAATCAGCTACACAATAGTAGCCTCTTTTAAGTCCTGTTACATACATTTGTAGCTGCATCTGCACATAATACTTTTGGGTTGGTTTCCCGTTAGATAGGTACATAATTTTTTAAGGTTTTTTCACTCACAGGACATTTAATTTCTATAATACTGTTTTCACAGATCCCATCAGGTGATCCTGCTATCATGGGATAGTTTTCAGAAAGCATTAAACCACACTTATTAATTTTTTTTCCCAGTTTGGTACTCACAGTCTTCCTTACTTCCTCTTCTAAAATTCTACCACGTTTCATGGCCAGTGTGTCTGGAATTTTTCCACCCATTATTAACGAGATTAATGTTCCATCACTGGTTTTGCACCGACTGAACTCATATGCCCGTGAAGCGGTTATCCTGCCGTATCTCAACTCGTGCCAGAGACTGCTTTTATGTTGACCCCTTGTCTCTTTTTCAATACTACTGATATCAGTATCAGTTAATACCATTTTCTCCAAAAATGTATCGCAGGATCTCTCTTTATATTTTAAAACTAATTTGTGCATAGACAAACTCTTTATTTGATCAAAAACATAGTTGGCTTGATATTTTAGTACCTCACAGTTAGTTAGTTTTCTTCTCTTCCCTTCCTCTAAAAACTCCTCAAACACTGAAGTATTTGATGACAAGCTAGGCCTACCATTGGACAATTCTTTGGCTGTTATATATTTTAGGGTAGATCCGACCCTGGAAAGTTTGGATTTCATCCAATAACACTCAACAGACGTACAGGATGGCTCCTCACTCCTGCGATGGACCCACATCAGAAAAGCTATGGCGTGTTTGCAGCGTCCTAGCGAAGCCACACAATCATGACATTCTATTGATTTCACTGCCTCTTGCTGTTCGTCCACTATTAAAGTTACTCCATACAACTTTGCATGGACTTTATGTTCTGGGCAGATTTTGCCTTTCACTGTGCACAGATTTCCTTCGCGTTTAAGCTGTACGTAACTTACAGCGTCATCGCCATATGATGGTCTGGAGGACCTAAAATCAAGAAATTAATATTTTAATAATAATATACGGTTCAATAATAAAATTAAACATTTCAATAACATAACCTCTAATATTAATCTGCTATGAATGAAATACATAAGTATAAGAAAAGATTTTAGAGGATTTGGATTTATGTTATTACTTTAATTATTATCTATTATTTTCAAATATTATTGTATTAATAATGTACTTACATGGAAGTTTTCACATTTCTAAATTCTGCTGAACAAAAGTCCTTATTTGATGCTAAAAACTCTCCCAGCATCAACACGTCGATTTTAGGCAGATTTATACTGTTGCCCTTAATAAATCCTTGTTCCATGACTTTCGATTTGATATTGGGTATGATATAAACTTCGTATAAACAAAATTGAATCGCAAAATTCGCAAATAAAAACACAAAAAACACAGAGAACATAAGCAAGCAGAGAAACAGTCGTTTGTTTGCTTGTTTACTCAAGAGTGACGTCATTCGTTTTGATTGGCGTTTAGGATATCATGGCGGACGTTCGTATTTTTTAGTTTTATTTTATCAAAATAGTTATCAATCTCGCTCTCAATTTAAAAAAAAAAATGAGTGTTTCGTATTCCCAGACTCAAGTTTCATCCATTAAACACATAATTTAGGTGAGTTTTAATTACTGTCATCATGCCTATTATGAGGGTGTTAATACCCCAGTTCGAGAACATAACTATAATATCATAGAAACATTCTTTGAATGTACGAATATACATTTCAAGCATATTTTTAGAATCAAACAGGAATATTCTCTTCAGGATGTACTGATAATGTCATAGGTATATTCTAGGAATATTCTAATGGATTTCCCAGGAAGTTCTTGGGTATTGCAAACAGTATTTCTACAATCTTTTCTCAGAACATTCTCAGGACATTCGCAATGGTTTTGGCGAACATTCTAGGCACATTCCCCCTAAAAAAAGAACATTCCCATTACATTCTAAGGATGCAGTTTTGTTATGTGGGTAGGTAATCGTATCAAAATACTGTCACGGATTCCGGGTTCAATACAACTCACTTCACAACTTTACAACTTTTTTTGATCAAATTGACTATAAAAAATAACTTGTCGCTTATTTCAAACCGTGTACAACTAATCTCCTACTTAAACTGATTCCAAACTGACTTCTAGGCGTTATGAGCTATGCATAGAGAAATTTCGTTCAAGATTTTTTTTTTTTCGCTTAAATTACGTATTTCAATTTAAGTGAAAGAGCTTATCGGAAAGGTTCTAGCAATACCACCACAGCATATACAAAAACAAACAGCACGTTAACTCTCAGGCGCATCTCCACTGCGTACGCCGCCATTCGAGGATACAGCCTATGGAGCCGTAATCACAGAAACTGGCTTTTACCTCAATGGAGAAATCTCCTTTTTTCTGACGAGTCCCGATTTGGACTGGCGAGTGACTCTTCTCGTCTCTCATTCACATACCAGGGGTGCTGACGGGAAACATCTACCTCCAAAATGTTAGGCCAATTGTTCTACCCCGGAGAAATGAATTTGGGCAAAATTTTACTTTTATGGTGACAACGCTCGCGCTCGCCCAAATCGCACTAGAGAATCCAAAACGTGTTAGCTGAATCCAATATCGAGAGAATGAACTGACCGGCAAACTCGCCGGACATGAACCCGGTTGAGTACGTGTGAGATACGCTTTCCGAAGCCATATTAAGAAGACCAAACCCACCTATAGCCCTTCAAGAGCTGATTGTGGCGGCACAGGACGAGTAGGATAATATTCTTCAAGAACAGATAGACAATCTGATCATCTGATTCTCTCAAAGCCAAGGCGGGTCAATGCGTGCCTCGAGAACAGAGGAAATCACACTGATTATTGTTGTTTTTATTTTTTATCTGAGAAATTTGGGTGGCTCAAGATTTTTGATGCTGTGTGTATTTATGTATTCTGAAGGCCAAACCTTATATTTTTCCCGTTTCTATCATATTTAAATATCAAAGATAAGAAAGATGGCGAAATAAAATATCTGCTTTCAGGAGAGCTTGTACTTTTATCTGATAATTATTTAAAGTAAGGATTTTGGAAAGTTATTTAAAACTGGTTTTATAATGTTCACCAAAAAGTATCAATTTTTGATCAGGCAAAGATAATTTCACAGTAGGCGGCTTATTAAATATGCTAATAAGAAATGCGCTTGCGAAAACACCAAAATTTCTATTTCAATTTTTTACGGCTTAAACTTGAAGTTCCAAGACCATCATTTATTGGAACCAAGGGTCTCTTTTGATGTTGTGATATACAGGGTGTTCCATAATAGCGATGTCCCTGGTACTCCAGTAAATATTATTTCCAGTTTCAATCTTGCTTGTGTTAGTTACTATTCGTTTATTTGTTTATGTTTTAATATACCGGATGTTCCACCGAAAACTGTCAATGGCCTATATCTTGAAACCGGTAATCGATGAAAAAAAACCCGTTTGGTGGATTGGAACCAAAACAAGGCACTTTTCAGCTCTTCTCGAACCACCCCTTCGGCGGTAGCCACCCTAACCTCAAAATAAAATGGCACTATAGGTTATGTGATACCTTGTTTAAAAGATCTTTTAATTCTCTAAATGAATCTGCAAAAAAAATTATCCAATATCCAATCAACTAACTCGTTATTGTAATCATGTTCATAAACACACTTGTAGTGTAAATAACTATTGTGTTTGATATCAGTTGTTTTCCCTTTAAAGGAAAGTTTCTCCTTTCACCCCCATCTGCTCTCACCTAAAATAATTTTCTAGAGCGACATCAGGTTCAAACGTAGTACCAAACGACATAGACTTGGAAGTTGATTGCAGCTGAAAATTTTTCCAATGTACGAGGGTAAAAAGAAGATTCAAATTCAGGCTAATACATTTAATTAATTTGGGCTTGAAAAATCAACCCTAATGCTTTATTATTGGACTATTCTGGGCTATTTGAATATAAAATCAGTAAATTTCAATACTAACAATTAATGGGATGATTTCTACATACCTACTTAATTTTCAGTTTCCACTTTCGAGATCAATTTAAAAAAATGTTTGAAGCATCAGCACTCTCGGCTAAACTGGAAGTTAGATTAATGTAAATTCGAATTTAAAGTGCCGAGCGACTGAAAAGCGGTGAGCGTTTTCGAGGATGAGAATACCGGCTCTGAAGATAAAGTCTATAGAAAGCATCCCATTATTTTACAAGAAAATTACAGGGTGATTATTTTTCCAAAAACTTTTTCGTCCGACATTTTTTTTTTTTAAATTTGACGTTCATATTTTTTCAAATATTACGGTTACCCTTTACTGTGATTTTTCACTCTTTAAATACCTAACTACAGTTTGAACTTGAACGCTATAATATAAAAATAAAAACCATAAATACAGGGTGTCCGAAAAATAGCGTAAAAGCTCTCCACGTAGTAGAGGACTCTTTGAGAAACCCTAGAAAAATAATTTAAAAAAACCTTCTCCAGCATTATTCTTGGGAATATGAAGAGGTAAATGTGAATATTTCACTCATGTATAAGTTTTCCCATAAGAGAAGTGACAAATCGAAAAATTACAGCGGTTATACAACTCACTGTACATTATTCCCATATGACACGGAAGGCTTAACAAGTGATAAGCCTTTTCGGATTATAATAATAAAAATTAATAAAGTAGGTATTGAAGTTTAGTTCGTTGTATAACCTTTTGAATACCACTCGATGTTTCAGGATTACTCATCTAATACTTTTACCTGACACTCAACACCACTCCTCCTTCGGAGTCGTGGTGTTGCTGCGTAACGCGTTTCATGACAGGTAAAAGTATTATCCGGTAATCCTGAAACCTCTTGTGGTATTACATTCGAAAATTCAACGTTGTCTAGGTAACGTGAAATTATCACCTATACAAGTCAATTTAACATTTTGACGATACAAAAAATTTAATGTTTGTATTGTAAATTAGAGACGGGAATCAATAGTAACCATAAAAACACAAATACTTGGCGTATTTGTCGAAAACAAAAGCCATTAAAAATCAAAATGAATCGGTTTGGTGAGGTGAAAGATGAGGAAATCGATAAAAGTATAGTGGAAGTTGAACCAAGAAAACACAGTGAAATCTAAAAACAGTATTTGGAGGCAGTTTATTTCATTTTGCGGCGAAAAAAAGTACACTTCTGATCAAGATACTCCAATATCCGAACTTGCATCTATCCTGAAAAGCTGTGCCTTTATTATGAGGAAAAGGAACGGAGAAGAATATAAAGAGCATTACAGTAAAAGTTCTCTGGAATGTTACCGCAAAATTGCTCATGGAAAAGTATCTTAACGACTTTAACAAATTTAAATTTAATTTTATTACATAATTTTTATAAAATTTGTGATTTATTCTCCCTAAATACCATTCGTACTTAAAAATTAACCAGAGAATTTCATACATCTGTCAAAACTGGTATTCCAACAATAAACTGACATGTTTTGATTGTTGATTTCAACCAATCAAATTGGAATTACGCGATAATTTGCACTAGTGCAAATTATCAGATAATTGCATACTAACTGGTGCGAAAACTGGTGTTTTGACATTTTTTGACAAAAAATTTGAATTTTTGATTTATGAAATTCTCTCATTAAATACAACTCGTGCAATGGAAATATATTTATAATTTTCGACAAATTATTGATAATTTCCATTGCACTCGTTATAGTAATATAACAAGCTTGTTGTACAAATTCCACTCGTTCTTCGAACTCGTGGAATTAAAACAACAAGCTTTCATGAAAATTATCGGTAATTTTCAAGCACTCGTGGTATTACCCCCGAAAATTCATCTTCGAATCCTACAGGTAATTACATATAGGTATTCAATTTAATTCTCCGACATATTGTCAACGGAATATTTTCAGTGCTACAAATTTTAATAAGAATTAAAATGCAAATTACTTTCTTAAGAATGGTACAAGATTTTTTAAATTATTTTTCGGGGGTTCCTTGAAGGATCTTCTACAACATAGTGAAGAGTTTTTACCCTATTTTCCGGATACCCTGTATAACTTGAGACCAGACGAGACCACTCGAGACGGGACGAGAGTCTGGTACTTGAGACCGAGACTAAGTCACTCGAGACGAGACGAGAGTCTGGTACTTGAGACCGAGACTAAGTCACGCGAGACGAGACGAGAGCAACCTTAAGTCTCGTCTAGTCCCGTATCGCGGCTCCACTAATAACAAAGTTTATAGATACTGATCTGTAGGTACAGTGGCGCACACAGGGAGGAGGCTATCGGGCCAGGGCCAGTCACAAGCCACAACCTATGTAGGGCTCC